GGAGGGTCGACGAAAGAGGGGGAGGCCTTCAACAAGATGGACTGACACGGTGGCTGTGGTGACGGGCTCAAGTATAGCAGGGATCATGGAGCAGGCACAGGATCAGTTGGTGTTTTGTTCTGTGCATGGGGTCGCTATGAGTCGGAAACGATTCAACAGCACCTAACAACGTATATATACACACACACACTCACACACACACACACATAGTGGAGCTGTGGTGGTGCAGTGCCTAAGGCATTTGATTGCTAACCAGCAGGCTAGAGGTTCAAACCCACCAGCCACTCCTCAGAAGGAAGGTTGGGCAATCTACTTCTGTAGAGATACCACCTTGGAAACCCAAGGAGGGGTCACTATGAGTTTGATCCAATTCGGGGAAGTGAGTTTGGTTTGGTTTATGTATATATCTATAGATATCTCCATTACTTCATTTCTAGAACCGAGCCTGACGTAGGCAGTGGAAAATGTTTTTGAATGAATTAATGAATGCCTTCCCCAGGCAGTGGGAAACTCCAGGACACAGTGGGAAATTGACTTCGCAACCCAGAACCATTAAAAATCCAAACCCATTGCATTGAACCCACACCTGTGGGTTCCAGCCAAACAAAAGACAGGCATATGAGCTGAATATTTACATTAGGTAGATACACTCCTTGGAGAGATCAATCATGGAGAATAGAAGGGCTGTGTATGCACAGAGAGACAGCTCAGGGGGCAGGAGTGCATGGAGGGAAGGACACTGGAAGAGGTGACTATGGGGAGGAAGTGGGAGGGGAGCTGTTGCATTGTGGGAAATTGTAGTCAGTGTCATGAGACAAAGTGTATGTGAGCTGCTGTGTGGAAAGTGAATTTGCTCTGTAAACTTTTACCTAAATCACAATTAAAAAAAAACAACCTGCCTTCGAGTTGATTCTGACTCAGCGACCCTGAGCGAAGACTGGCGCGGGAGCGGGCAGTGTTCGTTCCGCTGTCCACAGGGTCGCTAGGAGTCGGAGCTGACTCAACGGCACCTAACGACCACAGCGGCCCTGGAGGACAGAGTAGAACTGCCCCATACGGTTGCCCAGGCTCAGCGAGAAGACACACTGCTCCATCTTTCTCCCTGGAAGTGGCTGGTGGGTTCGACCACCAACTCTGTTGGTTAGCAGCTAAGTCCCTGTTCTGGTTCCCCAGTGCCACTCTGACAGGAATATGCCACAAATGGGATGGCCTTCACAAACAGGAGTTTAATTCTCTTACAGTTTGGAGGCTTTAAGTCCAAGTTCAAAGTGCCAGGCTCTAGGGGCTGTGTGAAAGTCCCTCGACCTTGGGCTTCAGCTCTGCCTCTTGCTCCCAGCCCACTTAAGCTAGAGGCCTCTCTTCACTGAGGCAGCACTGGCTGCTGAGGCTGACAAGCCCAAGGTCGACAAATAAAATGGCACAGTCCCAATGTTACCAAAGCACACGGCAGGCCATTAATTCAAGTCCATTGTAAGTCCCAAGGTCAGCAGAGCATGGCAGGCTGCTGAACAACGACACGGCTACATGCAGGGGCCAAGTGTGCTGTAAGCTGGAGACTATCCCCAAGGCTTCTCCTTCTATACAGGAAGCAGATGACATCCCAAAGGCAGCTAGCTACTCAGCTGCTTGTGGTAGATCCCACCATGGAGTTGACTGACAGTCTCACCATGGGGAATAACTACTACCAGCTGCCCAGCCACTCAACCAGGCCCAGCCACGCTGACACACAAACATAGCCACCAGTGCGTAACCCCTGTCCCACCAGGAATACTTCACAAGCTTAAAGGCAAGTAATTCCTAAATCTCTCTAGGGAATGATCCAGGGAATGCTGGGACATG